ATACCAGCCACTTTTTAAACAGTTTACAGGAAAAAATGCCTTAATAAGACCTTACCCCAAGAAAAAGGGCTTTTCCATACAGACATTACCATACAGCACATCTTCTTTTGTTCACTGCTTACACCATATTGACACTTATTTGAAACTTCCCCTTTTTTACCTTCTCTAGAGCAATCATTCACAAGTTGGTTCATCTGGTGGTTGTTGATGTAATAGAGACAAATTTCTTTGCTTGAAATGTGCTTAAATCCCATCATTTTAATACATCAGGTCAACTGCTCCCGTGACTGTCCCTGAATCTTTTGGTTTTGAAAAGGGAAATTCAAATCCAGCAAATCGGATTAGCAGGGCATTGAGGAAGTGCACCAGGGAGCAGACCAGGATGGTCCAGAAGGAATTTGCAAACTGCTCACTGTGAGTCTTGAATGTAAAAGTTCCCTCTTTGAAATTAGCAATTTTCTCTGAAAGGTGGTGGATCTTCACCTCTGAGGAGAAGAGAATCATGATGAGGCAACCACAGGAACCTGAAAGAGAGGGGGAGAGGCTCATCACTTCAGCAATCGCTCAGCTGTGCTGCATGATGTATGCTGCAGCCAAATACCACGTGGAGAATGTTTGTATAGCCACATAGCTTTAACAGGGATTATTTCTGGAATCCAAGCCAATGGCTATTGAAATGGGTGAGCTTTTCTAATTGAATTTGGCTCAGGACCAGGAATATTTAGCATGGCTGCTTTAGTGCCCTGAGCCACTGAAGTATCTGTGTTCATGTTCAGCTTTAGGTTGCCTTGTCCCATTGAGCATAACAGAGCACCCTGTGTGCCTGAACATAAACATGTACTGAAGTCCTTTGTTAAATTATGGTTGTAATGTGCAATACCTTGTAAAGTCAGGGTAAATCTGCCTGTCAGCCAAGCCAGCAGCCCAGGGAACAGCTGTGTGGCTGTTATCCCTGCACGGCAGTGCTTCTTCTCAGAGACCACGAGCTGCTGCTGGCCTCTGGCTGCTCAGCTCTCCTGTCCTTGGCAAGGCTGTGCTGCTCTAGGTGGTGACCTCGCTCACATTGTCTGGACCCAGCTGCATCACTGGCATATTTTGGTTGTTTTTCCCCATTTTTCCTGCTTTGGTGTGGTTCCTGGTTCTGACTGTGTGTGGGGTGCCAGTGATGCCACCCCAGCTCTGGGTTCCTGGGGCCCTTCTGTCATGGTTTCCTGCAGCTGCTTGCCCATTCCCATCCTGCCACCCACCCTCGTGCAGGATTTCCCCAGTCTATCTCTCAACTTCAATTTAGAAAGCACATGATTTCACATTTTTGATGTGGCAGAGTCACCCGCCTTCCTGCCTGGCTTGCTTTTGCCAATTTAGAGCCAGTGCAGCCAGAGTTTGACCCACTCTCCTCCGCTGAGAAGCGGGGCAGGCTGAGCAGTGCCAGCCTCAGCCCAGCCCAGGGGTACTCACAGGAGATGAAGCTCCACAGGTACAGCCCGAGGGGGCCATGCAGTGTCTCGTAGGGGCTGCCAAAAGCATTGAACATGAAGAACCCTGCTCCCACCAGGGCAAAGACAATCAGTACTGTACAGAAGAGAATGACACTAACATGGATACTCGCAGGGATAATTCTGAGCAAATCTGGAAAAACTGGAAACAAAACAAACACAACATTATTCTACACATTAGGCAAAGTTGTCTCTGATGTCAGGGCAGGGGTTGCTGCTCGTTTGTGATAATTGTTTTGATCGTGCTCTTCTAAATGCAACCAGATGAAATAATTCACTAGAAATGTTTTTTTAATGGATGTTTGGAGGCAGAAAAATTCTGTGAAACTTGGAAGCATAGGCTGGCCAGGAGGGAGAGATACTAGCCTCTCCTCCCCTTCCTGAGGGTGCTATTTGGTCCTCCAGGGAGACCTCAGAGCCCCTTCAGTGCTTCTCTCTGCAGGAGTCCTACAAGGACTTAGTCACATTAGTTCCTGTGACACTATCGGATGCTTCGGGAAAACATGCAAAACCATATATTTAATAATACAATTTTGTATGGTTTGTTTTAAGAAAACAAGTTATGGCATGGTATTGAATCCTCCCCTGGGCACCTGCATCTATAGCTGCTTCTGTCATTAACATTTTATATGTGATGTATCTGGAAAAAATAATTCCAGAAGCAACGTTGTCTTGAAAGTGAAACATTCCTTCATGGTCCTGAATGAACCCATGTGTGCTGCGCATGGCAAAGACCTTTAGAAAATGAACCACTGACCTAGAAACTGATGGGAATGAGTGGGAACAAATGGAGCAGAAGTTTTCCCCAGCTGAACTGGATTTGCTGGCAGAGCAAATTCATATTACAATTAAAAGAGATATAGTGGTCAGAGGGGAGCACTTAATGGGAACAAGCACAGAACTAAATAATTTAGCCTATTTTCCGTGTCTGTTCTCCTCAGACATGCTAAAGTGCAGTGAGTGCATGAAGCTATGGCTGTGTATTTTATAAGTTTGTCCTGCTTTCTGGAGTGCTCCTGGTGATCTTCCAAGGTACTGAGGTGTTGGGAGGGGGCTGCTGCAGCCCCAGGGAACAGGATCAGCACCTTGTTCTCGTGCTCCTGACCTCTCACAGCTGTCACTGACTGAACCTGAGTGTCAGTCCCAGAGCTTCTGGCAGCTGGACCAGCCTGTGTCATAACTCTCACCTACAGCAGTAAACAAAATCCCTGGGGTTGCACAGACCTCTCTGAAAATACAGCCCCGGTGCAATAACTGCACACTGGGATGGCACACAGAGCAATCAACAGGGACTTCAGCAGTATAAACAGACTGGTGATGGAGTTTAGAGAGAGCAAATACTAATACTATATCAAATTAGCTAGGTTTACTATTTTTGGGAAATGTTATACAGTAAATAATTTCTGGTACCTAGTCTGGCAACCTTCCCTTGCATTAAATCATGGGTGGAACAATTTGTGTGTGCTGTTGTAGCAGAAAGATTTTGATGTGTGCGCTGTAGTAACTTCAGGGGAGGTACTGTACGCACAACAACTGGCTTTTACTGCCTGCTGCTGCATACAAATATGTCTCACTTCACAATTTTTTTATTGACCTTCTTATCCTTGGAGATTAATAGGTTATGAATGTAAAATGAAGCCATTACTGATACTTTGACATTCTGTGTGTCTGGTACCAAGTCAGCTAGCATTTCCCAGACAGCCTCCCCCAGTCTTTGTTCCAATGAGTGCCACAGACTGCAAACTTTTGAGCTGCTTTGTTTCTCAATAGCAGCCAGTGCCCCAGCTCTTTCCTGAGGTTCTTGCTGGTTTAGTTCATTCTTCTTGACAGCATAGAGCTAATGTTGTAATGCTGGCACACAGAGGAAGATGACAGAGATTAATTAAGCCCCTCAATATTAAAAAAGCCCCTCAAATATTCTTCCTAAAGAAATAGTATAAATCTCTTGGAACGTGGCTATCTGTGTAAGTGCAGTAATCTGAAAACATTAGCCCGGCTGTATCGGTATCATCAAATGAGTTGCTGACCCCGAAGATCAGAGCACGCGAAGGCAGCGCTGCCTCGCTGCGGGGCTCGGTGTCCGAGCGAGGGGCAGCCCTGTCCGCCGGCACCAGCGGGGTGCAGACGGCCCAAAGGCCGCGGGTACTCACATGAGAACTGGAAGGGTCTCCCCCCGAGCCCGCACTGCCGCACACGCTGCCCGGCGAAGAGCCCGTACTGGATGTGGCCGATGAACTTGTGCAGCTCGGGGCCGCTGGCGTTGACGAGCAGCGCTCCGGTGCTGCAGAGGATGGAGCCCCTGACCCAGAGCTGGGTGCCCACGGCCGCCGCCGTGCCCAGCGCGCAGGCCAGGCTCAGCACCCCGGCTGTGCAGAAGAGCAGCTTCTTCTGCGGCGCTGGCATGCTGGCACACGGGGCCGCGGCTGCCCGGAGGCGGCGCCCAGCCCCAGCGCCGCGGCTGCCCGGATGCTGAGAGCCCCGGCACCCAACCAGCCCGGTCCTGAGAGCCCTGGCACCCAACCAGCCCGGTCCCGGGAGCCCTGGCACCCAACCAGCCCGGTCCCGGGAGCCCTGGCACCCAACCAGCCCGGTCCTGAGAGCTGGCACCCAACCAGCCCGGTCCCGGGAGCCCCGGCACCCAACCAGCCCGGTCCTGAGAGCTGGCACCCAACCAGCCCGGTCCCGGGAGCCGCGGCACCCAACCAGCCCGGTCCCGGGAGCCCTGGCACCCAACCAGCCCGGTCCCGGGAGCCCTGGCACCCAACCAGCCCGGTCCCGGGAGCCGCAGAGCCTCGGCCGGCCCTGGCCGGAGGATGCTGCAGAGGCTCTGCTTCCCTGTGTCCTTCTGCACAGCTTCGCAGATGTTTCTGTGCATCCCCTGTCACTTGATAGCCAGGGTTTAGGGTGACAGATCTCCGTAATTTGATGAGTGCTCTGCTCGTGCCAGCCCCCGGGGAGTGGGTGAGTTGGGCTGCTCTATCAGATCATCTGCTCTCCATAAAGGAAGCTCCCAGAGGGTTTATTTTTGCATGTTTTCTTCTAAAGTAGTGCCGAGCTGCTCTCTTGTATATTTTGGTTGCTGTTTTATTTTCTTGGTTTTGGGATTTGGTTTTTCTTTTCTTTCCCCACCTGTGTGTATTTATTTTTTGGTGTTTTTTAAGGTAATGCCCAGGTACCATACAGCAGCCTGCCAAACCAGGAGGCCCCATCTCAGTATCCAGTTGCATTTGGGCACTTGCTTGCTCTTGTTTTCCCTGTCAGGGTGCTCTCTGGCAGGGCAGTGTGTGCATGTACGCTGCTGTTTTAGCTGCAGCATGTAGGATGCTAAGGAATTAAAATGAAACAAGGCTGTGTAAAAAGGATTTACTGATTTGGTTTGGGTTTGGTTTTTTTTTTTTGTTTTTTTTTTGTTTTTTTTTTAAGCTATTGCCTGTTTATCAGACTTGTTGGTCCTTGCCTTTGGCAAGCACAGCTGGATGCATGAAAATAATTAATGAGACAGTGTAGGTCAGTACAAGACTACTTTATTGGTATTGTCTATATTGTCTATTTCAGCCGTAGCTTTCAAATTAATCTGTTGTTTCACTTGAGAATTTCTTAGAGATAAAAGACACGTGGTTTGCCTGTTCTCATCCATAGCACACTTAAACATAAGCTCATTTGTAGACAGCTGCTGTTAATTTTATTTAGGCTTGTTTGCAACCCAGTGTTTATTCTTGTTTTTCCTAAGCATCTCGTGTTGGTATTGTCCTGGAGATGCAGTACAATTCTAACAATACATACTCTTGGAGCTTTTTATATTTTGCGCCTACTCATAAACCCATTTCCAGAGATCAATGAAAAATTTAATCAGAAATCCTTAGCATTTTTAAGTCCTTTTTTTTTTGTGTGTGTGTGTGTGTGTGTGTGTAGTGCAGACGATAATAGCACTGGGTCTATGTATAATGTCAAACTCCTGAATTTCCTTGGAGGGTGTTTGAAGAAAAAAAGAAATATCTGACTTTAAAAATGCACTGTTGGAGTAAAATTTGACAGTGGCGATGTAAGTGGATCTGTTTTGTGACTCCAGCAGCGGCTGTGCTCTCAACCAGCAATGGTCGCAGTTCAGGACCCTCTGCAGAGACCTGCTGACTGTCACTGTCACCCGGGGCTTCAGTGGCTTTGCAGGAACAAGCAGAGCGTAGTGCCGGGGGGATGGGATGTCTGGGAGAGACAGACGTGCCAACAAACCGTTTTGTGAAGCTCAGAGCAGGTGGGGTGGCGTGAGACACTTGCCAGAGTTGTCTTTGTGTTCCCAGCGCGCTTTTATGGTAATCAGAGAGAAACCGAGGAAGGAGAGCTGTCACAGCAGGCAGGGGAAGTTTCTGAAAGCTCTTAACCCTAATGCCTGGGTGACATCAGGACTTAGGCACACGGATGTGCTGTGGTTTTGAGCAGGTAGGGTGTGATATGCTTCATCATTTGGGTGCTGGCTTTTTGTTCTTATTTGCTTTTGGGGCCAAATGATTTTGTGATGTTTCACATGTATTTGTATCTTTTTATTCCTTCTCTCTGTGTCCCAAAGTTCTTGTGACTTGCAGATATAATTTTAATAATGTTCTTTCTTTGTGTTTCAAAAGGCAATGTTGGTAGGGAAACTTCTGAAAGTCACTGTTCTGTTCTTAATGCAGGTTGTCTGCCATTATTTGTCTTATGGAACTTTGTGAGCAGAGGTTATGTTTGAAAACATGCTGCTTTGGCCCCTTAGAGCTGTGCTCCCCAATTCGGAGCGCCTGACATTTTTATGCAGGTCTGTTCATTTGATTTGCAGGAAATCTTCTAATAGCACCACATTGTACTGTGAGGTGAAGAATGCCAAGTGGGAATAAAGCGTTGTTGGACGGGAGAGCAGTGTGTTTGCACAGCAGGCACAGGAGATTTGGGAGAGAGCAGAAGCAGAGAAGGTGCTGACTTTTTTTCTGGGAAAAAAACTGAGCTTTGAAAGTTTTACCTTTACCTTACAAGATCTGGAGCTGAGAAGAAATTAAACTGATAAATTATGTGCAACTTCTTAACCACCTCTGGAATTTTCAAGACTTAGTTGTTGCTTGGCTCAAGCTCAACCTTTGAAATTGGTGCAGAGTGCTTGATGGATGGTGCCCGTGCATTTTAACATTTGAACTTCCAAAGCCACAGAGAATGGTTTGGGTTGGAAGAGACCTTAAATATCGTCCAGTTCCATCCTCCTGCCATGGTCAGGGAGCCCACACATCCACTTTACCAGTGCAGGTCCAGGTGTCATCTGCTGGGCAGGCCGTGGTGAGCACCGGGCAGCGCTGCCCTGCTCTGGGAGGTGAGGGGAGGGCATTGCGGAGCCCCGGGCAGGGTCCCGGAGCCCCGGACAGGGTACGGAGCCCCGGGCAGGGTCCCTGAGCCCCGGACAGGGTCCCGGAGCCCCGGGCAGGGTCCCGGAGCCCCGGGCAGGGTTCCTGAGCCCCGGGCAGGGTCCCTGAGCCCCGGGCAGGGTCTCTGAGCCCCGGGCAGCGCTGCCGGGCTGCCCAGCCGCCCCACCGCCGCTGGATGTCGGCCGTTCCCCGCCGCGCTGCAGGGATGTCACCGCGCGGTGCTGTTTGTCCTCTTTTTATCTCTTGCTTCCTTCCCCTTAGTAAACTTCTGCTTTTCCCTGGCAGAAGAGGCTGTAAGTCACGAGGCTGTGTACGCTGTTTTCAGCCGGCAGCTCGTGTAAGCCTGTAAGGATTTTTCTTTTGTAAATAGGACGTCCACGTCTGGGACATCTGCCTGCTGACGCTGTTACTGTTGTTAAAAATGTTCTTTGAAGGACAGCTGCTGTGTTTGGATGTAAACCCAACTGAAGCATGTTTGGAACCTATTTCCTGTCCACTTTTCCAGTTTTGGCGTCTTGGTTTGAGCCTTTATCCTGGATCACACGTGTTTTAGTGGTGGGCTTGGCAGTGCTGTCTCAATGGTTTGACTTGATGGTCTTAAAAGCCTTTTCCAACCTGAACGATTCTGAGACTCTCTCCCATCTGCCTCTTGTGTGACAGGTTTCCATACAGGCAAGGGGATACAATAATTTTTAAACAGTGCAGTTTAAAATCCCTTTTTGGAGTAAACAATACCCTCCAAAATGCTTTATGGTTAATCTTGCCATATCAGCTTTGCAGGTGAAGAACTGCTGTTCACTGATTTCTTCACTTATAGCACCAAGTCCTTTAATATAGTAAAGGCACAATATTTAACTTATTAAAGGTGAGTGCCATAAATAACTCTAAGGTATATTTGGGTCTGAGCACGTGTTGGCACGCGTGTCTGTGACCTGGTGGGTCAGCGCCGTTCTCTGAGCGGCATCCCGGGGGCTCAGGGGTGCGTGAGCGGCTCACACAGCCCCGGTGGTGTTCTCTGGTGGTGTTCCCCGGCGGTGTCCCCGGTGGTGTTCCCCAGTGGTGTTCCCGGCAGTGTTTCCCTCTGCTCGGGCTCGTCGGGAGCGTGGCCGGCAGTGCTGCCCGGCCCGCGGCTGTCGGTGCTGCCGGTGGGCATGATCTGCTCGTGTCTCACAGGCTGGGCTGTGGCTCTGCACTCGCCTCCGCGGCCCTGAGCGCCTTCGTCTCCTTGGGGGCCGCGAACGCCTCGGCAAATTTCAGTCGGAAGGCCTTGGAAAGGTGGTAGTAGAGAAGGGGGTCAAAGCAGAGGTTGGAGACCGCGAACAGCAAGGTGCACTCCTTGGCCTTGAAGAGAGCCCGTCGCAGGGGGCAGCTGGCGCCGGCGTCGCCCTGGCTCAGCGTGTAGGGCACGCGCACGGCATGGTAGGGCACGAAGCACAGCAGGTAGGCGGCCGTCACCAGCAGGACGTGTGCCAGCGCCCGCCGTGCGCGCCCGCTGCGCTCGCCGCGCTGGTGCCGCCACAGCTGCCTCACCGCGAGGCAGTTGGAGATCACAATCACAGCCGAGGAGTTCAGGAATATTGCCGTGCAGATGAAATTAGTCAGCACGTGCCAGTCTCTCCCAAGTTTCGTTTTGAAATCAATGCATCCAGCTCCAGGTCTTTCCTCGATGTGTTTTATGGGAATAGCCATGTTAGGCACCGTGATGAGGAGAACCATGGCCCACACGACTGCAGACAGCGTCTTGGCAAAGCCAGGCTCCTGGATGCGGTGGATCTTGGAGCTGTGCATCAGCTGCAGGCAGCGATCCATGCTCACCAATCCCAAAAATATGATTGATAAATACATGTTCAGGTAGATGAAGCAGGCCGTGACTTGGCAGTGGAATATTCTCAGATTCCAGGACGCAACTCCTAGGTCAACAATAATCTTCACTGGCAGTGTCAGAATCAGCAAGAAATCTGCAGTGAGGAGGTTGATTAAGTAGATGCTCATACACTTCTGTTTCTGGTCCTTCTGTGTGAATGCCCACAGTGCAAAACAGCTTCCAATAATTCCCATAAGAAAAATCAAGTAGTAAAAATAGGTAAAAGGTTCCATTTCTTCATAGAGATGACATTCAGAAATGTTGCTTGACATTGTAAACTCCTTGTGTGAGTTGGTTTTGCTGACAGGAAGTATCACAGACCTACAAAACGACCAAGAGGATATCAATGACATCAACCTTTCCTCAGCAACAATAGCTATTATCTTAGAATTTTGTTTGATTAATTCTAAAAAAGAGAATGCAATTAGGAAGAAATATTTTTCTCTCTCTTCATGCTGCTTTCCAAATATTCAGGAGAGATTTGTTGTCATGCTGGAAGAATTAGGAATGTATTAGGATTTGTTTCTGAAAGCATAGAGCCTTCTGAGCAGCATTTCCCCGACAGCAGCTTTTCTGACAGTGTTTGGTTCACCACCCTCCTCCAGCCAAAATGCTGGAGAAAATGGTTTGAATCTATTTAAGCATCTGGTTAATAATGATAATACTAAAACATCATAACCTTTGAAGGATTGAAGCTATGCCTGAAAAAAAAGTAGTATTTGTAGCATCCCCGTTCTGTAAAAATGCGTTGGGAGTTCTGAGGGAATGCACTGTCCAGTCAATATACAGATATGTCTGATGGGTGGGCAAATGGTCCTCATCAGCACTAAGGTTTGCAAACTGCTCTCCATTCCTACTTGAACAGAGAACTTGTATTTTTATGAAGCCTTTAGGAAAAGCACATTTTTGAAAGAAGCAGATAATAATTTTGCTCAGTTTTTTTGTAGGCTTCAGTAGAAAAGGAAAGTAGAAAATTCTGGCCCTAATTTAACTAAATACCCGTCAAAGATGGAAGGGTTTTTGTTTGTCTGCTACAGAGAATGGCTGTGGGAAAAGCTGTTCCTTTGAATTTCTTGGAACCAACACATTTATGTCTTGAGTAGCATCAGAATGCAACACTTCTATTTCTATATATCGTACAGAATATTTTACACAGTATAAGAGAATTACTGCACATGTAATTTAATCTGTTAAATTGTATCCAGATTTGCATAGTTTATAAAGCAAAATGATTGCAGATACTCCAGTGGTTTAGAATGCTGGAGAAAGCGGTGTGGTCCCTGCAGCTGGCTCTGTGCAGGTGTCTCTTGTCCTGAGAACGGCTGAAGCGGCTCTGGGTGAGGGCAGGCGGTGCTGCTGCTGGCTGGACTCCCTCGTGGGCAGGTGGGCAGGGGTATCCAGCACAGCCAGCCCCGGGGGGCTGTGCCCAGTGACACTGGCTCAGGGACAGCCAGGGGCTTTGCCAAAAGCTGAGCCCGACCTCGGGAGCGTTGGCAGCTGGATTTTGGGCTGTCCATTCATGGAGATGTAAATAGGCTGTGACAGACAGACTGAAGGCACCTACCTGTCCTGGTGGCCTGGGTTCTGCTGGGCATTGTCTGCAAAGTCTGATGTCCCTGAGCCGCTGCTCTCCTGGCCAGGGCTGCGTGACCTTCTGCCCAGGCTGCCTCTGCACAAAACGTGGCTGTGGTTTCCAGAGGGGCTGACTGACGCAGTTAAACTCAGTGTTCAAACGGCTGAATCACGTGGAAATTACCCAGGGGAGCAGTGACAGAAAGGAAAAAATGCTCAGAACAGCCCAGAGCCCTCTCGTTCCTGTTCCTGGGGAGAGGCATGTGGGGGTCTGACTGAACAGCGTCAGTGGCTGCTCCTTTGCTTTTGTTTTCCAAGGCTGGAACTCTGTTTCCTCCCTTCCCCACACATATATCACATATAAAATCTGTCTGAAATCAGGATTTTGCAATGTAGTTGTTCCTCATTTGTTCTAATACTCCTGCATGAAATTCTAGGTTCTGGGAATCTCATGGTGTTGTTTTACAGTTACACTTTAGTTGGCAGATCTGAAGACATCTAGGGGTTCTGCTGATAGCAATGAATATTCTAAATATTTGGATATTTTCCAAGCACTATTAAAAATAAAAATGACACATTAGAGAGGCTGGGGAAATCTTTATTTTTTCGTTTGGTTGGTTTGGTAAACCATGAGAAAAGATCTGACACCATGCTGGGGGTGAGGTACTGACAGCAATACTGAAACTCCAGCTGGTGGACCTTGGTTGTAATTGAGAATCCACAGGAATTTACAAACCCTGCACCAGAGCTTTGTGGAGGAACAGATGAAGAATGTCTGGCTCTAGGTTTAGTCATAAACTGAAAGTTCAGACCCTATTTGTCAAAATGTTTTCAAAGCTTAATAATCTGGAATGATCCTGTGTCCAGCTGTGAGCAAACATCCACTCATTTTGTAGAGTTCTGCTCATGCAAAGCTGATCTCCCTGTACTTGTAGGGTTGTGTTTAAACCCAAACTGCAGCACTGGAAGTTGTTTCTGTCTGTGTGTCTCTGTCAGCCAGTCTCCCCTTTTCTGTAGAGTCAGTTTACATATCAGGGAACTTTTCCAGGTCTAAAAAGACAAAGTGATGGTTCAGTAAACCTTTACTGTGTACTGGTCTGCCCTTCCTGCAGAGGTGTTATGGGAAAAGAGCAGATCTTGGAATGTGAGTTTTTCCCTGAGTGTGGGAGGAGTTGGCTGGGCTATCTGAAGCCTGATGTGCTGGGAAAGGATTGATTTACCCAGTGCTGAAAAAAATTTGTCTCAGTTCATCCAGCAAAGTAGGAAGGAAGGAGAGGAAATGGATCAGAGGCTTGGTTTGACCCTGGTGCTCCTTGGCACTTGTCACTCACAGCAGGATCAGGGGCATGGAACTGTTTCCTGACTAGGGAACCTCTTGGAGGAGGATTTTTTCAACATGAGTGAAAAACTAGAAATGTGGCATCCCTTTTGAACAGAGGTTTTGATCAGCATCTGTTTCCCTGGTGCCTTAATGTAGATTCTTGTCATTCTAATATCAGTAATCTGGTGAGGTGTGGAACAAATTCCACAATATAAATTTTTTCAAAGCTTGCAAAGCAATTAAAAAGTTATTCAAATTTATATTTTGGAAGTGTTTCCATCTATCTATGCCAGTGATGTTTCACAGCTGCAATTGTGTAAATTTATGTAGGCAAGTACCAAGCCCTGCCATTTAGGGAACTGAATGTTTTTGCCATAAACGACAAAAGATCTCCCACAAAGCACTGGATTCCCTTCCCCAGGCTGGTTCCCTTGCTTGGAGGGCAGAGCCTGCAGAGCCTCAGTCTGAAAGAGTCAGGAGCTCTGAAAGAACCGTATAAATATCTTTTATGCATTTTCTTTAACAAACACAACCAGCACACTGCCTTCTCCTGCAGTCCCCATGGGCAGGTTCAGGCTGCAGCCCCCAGCTCCCACAGCCCGAGGGACGCCCAGGCTGCCCCAGTTGTGGGGTGCTGGTGCCCACTGGGATCGGGCTGGACCTGCTCTGCACTCGGTGGGAATTTGATAGAGCAGAATTTGCCCCAAAAGCTGTGTATGAACCCAGTGGAGGTGTCAGACCTTTAGCTGGAGTACAATCCTGTGGCCTGGTGGAATCCTGCTGCTGCTGACCAGTGGTCTCAGATCAAGAGAAGTTACTACAGCCTCAGAGAAGGTACAAGGACAAAATGTTTAAAAATATTTTGCCCTTAGATCTGTTTGGGCTAAAACAAAATGCAATGACAGAAAGGTGAAGGACCTGTTATTTCTGTTCCTATAGCTTCTTAAGCAAAATGAAGATATTCAGCTCCAGAACCACTCTCTGAAATCTTTAGTGGATACTTTAGGCCCTGGTATGTTTTTCCAGTACAATAATAAAATCAATTAAAAAAAAAAAAAGCTGCTCTGAAAAATAAAGTTATAAAAGAGATTATATTTGTATGGAGCAGGTCGGTGGCTTTCAGCTGTTATCTTGGTACAGACAGAAGGGCTTTACTGCTGTGTAAAAATCATGGGAAAACCAGCAAACTATTCTTTCTGGATTTAAATGTACCAGAGTTTTTACTCAGCTGTACTTGTGGTTCCCAGACAGCTCCGGATGTTCTCGCCTCTTTCTGCACCAGCAGCGAGGGAGCTGCTGCAGTTTGGTGTGGACATGTTTCTGTTCATGGAAGTCCAGAGAAGCAGACTGCTGCGGTTTTGGGTCTGCTGGATTGTCCTTCCAGAGACCCACAGCCTGGAACTCCAGAATGTGCTGTTCCAGGTACTCCTCTCTGTGTTTTTGAGATCCAGATGGGTCATGTCACACCCTAATGCAATCAGGGCACTGGCTGGAACAGTGAATATATTGAATATATTGGCACACACAATACTGAGCTTAGGCAGAGAAGGAGCACCAGGTGTTATGCTGAACCCCTCTCCTGCTTGTTGCTGCTTGTCGTGTTCTGTGTCTTTGGGATATTTCTGTTCATGAATAACTTCCTGAATTGTGCATTATTGTAGAGACACAAACCTACACTATGTTTATACTTTCCCGAAGTGTATTCGATCTTCTGGATTTAGAAATTTCAACCTCACTTGAAGCTTTCAGCTTGAGGTGCAGTTTTTGATACAGCTTTTCTCTAAAGGGGAGGCAGAGGAAAAAATAAATAATGGGGTCAAGGCAGACATTTGCTGCAGACAGCACCAGAGTGAACTCCTTGGCGTAGTACAGTGATTTTTGAGACTGGCAGGTGAAGTGAGAGCTGGTCTGGCTCAAGGTGTAAGGGGTCCTGCAGAGGTGGTAGGGCACAAAGCAAATGACAAACACAAACATGATGGTGAATATGTTACGGCTGGTTTTTCTCTTGGCCATGTCTGAGTTCCTCCGGAATTTTTTGTAAGAGCTGTATATTTTTTTGGATATAGAAGTGTAAAATATGATTAGCAGAAAAAAAACAATCCAGAAAATCCCTGTGCAAATATAAGTGGTTGCTTTGTGCCACTGTCTGCCAAGCTCGCTTTTAAGACCTATACATTTTCTGGAGTAATTGTCTTTAGTGATTTCATTAGTTAAAATCATATTTGGAAATGACATAATCATTAATAACAGCCATATGATTACAGAGATCACCTTGCTGTAGTTAACAGTGTGAACAAAGGAGGTGAACAAAGGCTTTACGATTTTGTAGTACCTGTCGAAGCCTATGAGGCCGAAGAAGGAGATCCCGATGTACATGTTCATGTAGAACACAACGGCCGAGTACCGGCACACGAACAGGCTGAGCTCTGCGGGTGCCAGCTCTGAGTCAGCAAGGATTTTGAAAGGGAACGTCAGGCTCATGAGGAGATCGGCCACAGCGATGTTCTTGAGATAGACAATAAAACTCTTAGTGCTGGAAACGTAGAGGAAGACCCAGGCTGCCAGGGCGTTGAGCAAGAGCCCTGCGAGGAAGATGAAGCAGTAGAGCAGCGGGATGACTGTTGTGGTTATCACCGTGCTGTGGCTGCAGTTGTTTCCTGAGGAGCTGGTGCTAGAGTTGAACATCTTGCAGTATCTTCGTTCCTAGAAGCAGAGAAAAGAGCCTCAGTAGGACAGGGTGGTGCTGGGCTTTCTGCTAACTGCTCTGCATTTTCTGCCCTCACTTCCAAACAAGCTCGCTGTGCCTCTCAGAAACAGCCACCTTCCCACACCTTCCCAGCAGGGAATGCAGAGAATTTTCTGTGGTGCCATCTCACCTTCTAGTGGTGTTCCAAGGCACGCTGTTGCTTTGACCAGAGGATCCATTTGCTTCTCCGTTTGACTTTAACCCGTTGCCTTCCAGCCCAGGGCTGCCTCTGCCTCAGGCATGAGCCCCTGTGCTGTGAGCAGGGACTGACCCACAGCAATCTGGTGACTCAGGGTTAATGAGATGTGTTTTTTTAAATGTTAAATGTGAATTTTAAACATTGATTTATCATGAAACACGAGGGATATGAATATTCCTGGTCGAAATGTTCTGTGAAAACTGCTGTTAGTCAAGTGTGGAGACACCCAGCATACGACAATATATCCCAGTGCTCCCTTGCAAGGAGCAGAGTTTGCTTTCAAATTCCAGCAGCCCAGCACACAGCAGTGTGTCTGTGTTAGTTTGTCATGTGGGAGCTTGAGCTGGCTTCTCAAGTCAGTCAGATTTACATTTTAAAGTCTCTCCAAGAAGAGATCACATCTGCTGTCTGCTTTGCTTTGCCGGAATGTTTGTGGGGGTGGATTATCCTCTCTGCAGAGGGCAGAACAAATATAGATATAAATATAATGCTGCTGTATTTGGCAAGTGAAACTCTGGGCAACTGGAAAATATGTGCCTTGGAGCTGGGAAAAAACTCACCTTGTCTTTTAGAAAATAAAGGATTTCCTTTTATCCCCATTCTGAGCCAGTAGCTGATGTCTCTGTGGAGTGGGTTGGAGCCTGAGTGTAACCTTGCAATAGCTAGAAATTGACATTTTTCCTCAAATAGGTAAAATGGTCTCTTTTGGTGTGCTGTTTTCTGTAGCTCTGGTTGCAGATGGTGCAAAGGCTGATCAGGTTAGGTGTGTTCTGGAACCTGCATGGATGAGAGGAGCATGGGGTGGGTGTGTTACCCTGTGCACACCCAAAGCCTGCTCTGAGCCTTGTCCCAGTCATGGTCCTGCCACAGCAGCAGCTGTCCTGTCAGTGTCATCAAGGCATTTATTTTTGTTTGGCTGGGGTTTTAAAAGAAAAAGGCCGTTTGGAGAGTAGGTGTTAAACTACCACATGAACAGGTGTGTTAGAGCTGGGAGGTTATGTGGGTAGAGCTTGGGGTGATACTGCTGCAATCAGGAGTATCTTCTGGAAAGGCACTAATAGCAAATGGCATTTTATTTAAACTTTCTCCCTCCAGGCTGTCTCAGCAGGACCCTCTCTCTGAACATGGTGCATTAAGAACTTGTTCCTTCTCTGTAGGGTTTTCCACAGCCAAGAACCCACACGTGGGTCTGACACTGCTGAGGAAGGACAGGAATGAAAAGACTTTGTTCAGAAGGCTGTGGATAGAACTCTGATTTATTTCAAAATGCATTGCTCTTTATTCAGAGCTTTGTGCAGACCAACTCTATTGGTCCTGAAATGAAAACTCACCCCATTGGTGCACAGTGCATGACACACAGGGGTAGAACCTAACTATAAACAATGTGAACAACAGAGAGATAAAGAACCTTATTTACATTCTATTCCAACAGATTCCCAGGCTTCTGGTTAGAAACTCTCTGTTTCTCTCTTTAACTGAATCTGAGACCGACATGGGTGTTTCTGTGCTTGGACTTGGGGGTAGGCATTAAATTGTTTAGAAGTTCATGAAGTAGGTTTTGTGCTGAGGCATCATACAACAGAGGATTATTTCAGAACTGTGTGACTAGAGATATGGACGTCAGATCTTTGTGAAGTCCACTGTGTCTGTGCAGCAGGGAGGAAAACCTAGACAAATTTCACATTTGATACGAGCAGATTGATCAACTGTCTGTCATTGAGACAGCTCTTTACATCTTTCCACGCCACTGGCATGTCCTTACCTTCCCTCTGGTGCCTGCTGTGGAACTTTGCTGAGGGTCTAGAGCACTGTCCATTCCCAGGCACGGGGCCTCTGCTCTTGCTGGGACACCTGTGGGAGAGACAAAGATGTGTCCCTGTGTGCTGGCAGTGCACACCTGTGCTGCTGAGGGGCTCCCACAGCACAGCACAGCGCTGATCAGTGCTCACACATGCAGGGAGTGTGTTAGTGCCATTTGGGAGGGGTGGCACTCAGAGCGAGTGTGTTAGTGCCATTTGGGAGGGGTGGCACTCAGAGCGAGTGTGTTAGTGTCCTTTGGGAGGGGTGGCACTTAGAGCGAGTGTGTTAGTGTCCTTTGGGAGGGGTGACACACAGAGGGAGTGTGTTAGTGCCATTTGGGAGGGGTGGCACACAGAGGGAGTGTGTTAGTGCCATTTGGGAGGGGTGGCACACAGAGGGAGTGTGTTAGTGCCATTTGGGAGGGGTGACACACAGCCTTTCGTACTCGAGCAGCTGTTCTTGTTCAAATGCTCGGGCCAGCATGAAGTACATAGATTCATAGTACATAATGTCAGCTAGTTTTGCAAAACCAGCAAACTTGATTCAACAGATGACCAAGATTGATTGAGTAAAATATGAAAAAGGTCTGAACTTTCTCAGTCTGCAAATCATGTTTCTTGGCACAACGCACAAAAGGGAAGCTGCATAAACCATTAGAAATGCTCAGTCCCTTCTGAGGTCAGACTCTTGTGCTGTCCCCTATGACTCTTCCACAGTAGCGTTAAGGCAGCTCTTGACTTCTGTGACATGGCTGTCAAGTTTCAAAGTTCACCCTGCTTTACAGAACATAAGAATAATATTTATAAGTTGTTATATTTGTTTACTCTGAATTTACCAGAGGTTGTGTTGTTCCAAGTACACATTTTAGCTGTTTATAGAAACTAATGCAGATGTTTAATAAATATGTAGTACAGTTACTGGGTCAGAAACTGGTGACAGGATTGCCAGCAGTGTTTTTTGAACTGTAAGATGGAGTTAATCAGGGGAGGCAATCAGGCCGGATGGTACCTCTGCTCTTAGGAGGAAGCTGGAGAAGGAGGAAGCACAACGCACACCACAGCCATTGCAAGTTGTGCTGAGTGTGCTAAAAGAAGAACCTTATTTTAAGATTTTCTCTCTAATGTGGTAGGAATGTTGGTGCTGGTGGAACTCGCAGTGCTGTCTGTGCTGGTGTAATGCAGTGGGAAAGCTGCTGTGGGTGTCCCTGTGGGGCAGAAGGGTGGTGAGGCTCAGGAGCACAGGCTCTGGGAGCTGTGCTGGGCACTGTCAGGGACAGCTGAGGGAACCTCCTCCCCAAACGCCGGGGCCTGAGGGGGTCAGGGCTGCTCAGACCCTCCTCTGTCCCCAGAGAGGAGCCCAGCCTGGCAGTCTGTGGGGCGTGTGCCAGGTGGAGACACGCAGGTCCCTGGCTGGAATTGCTGCTCTGCTCTGGAGGGCACTGCTTGCAGGCACCGTGGAGAGACGTGGGTGCATTCGACTCGTTGCGAGTTTGCCAAGAGACTAAAATTTTGTTATTTACTGTTCTTATTATGACATTAGTCATAGGGCAATGTCTGGGCTTTAATACTTGAGAGAATAAAAGTATGCAAAATAATGGGATACTTTAGCCTCTGGAAGTGGCATCTTGGGTGGTAGTTCTTGTTTGGCATAGAATGTAGTGGAGGAAAATGGGATGAATGCTGGAATTAGGGTACAGAAGACACAGGTGACCCTCCTGTTGCAGTAAGGGAAGCTCTGCCATGGCATGGGATGTGGCGGTGCCCAGTGCCTCCTCCTCCAGCAGGGCTCCAGGAAGCAGCGCAGTGCTCAGTGCAGCACTGACCACCCGTGGGTCTCACCCTTGCCCTCCAGCTCCTGATTTCCAGAGCCCTCAGGCATGGTGGGCAAGCAGAGAGCACGCAGAAAGCCGTGCCTCTCCTCGCTGCTCTCGGGCTGCCTGGGCCGGTGCTGAGGACGGACGTGTGCCCCGTGGCTGGGAGCCTGGTGGCACTGGGGGTGTGCTCTGCCTGCAGCTGCACCCAGTGACGGGCAGGACAGGCGGGTGGCTGCCTCTGTCCACACTAACAGGACATCCCACCTGTGGTCCCCAAAGGCCATGATCCCAGGATGTTGCAGTGAGGAGGTGGCCGTGGGTGATGCAGGAATGACCTCAGGGAGATCACCCGAGATGTTCTCCTGGCACTGCAGTGAGCTCTGGTCTCTGAAGGACACGGGGAGGAGAGCCAGCAGGCACACAGAGCGGAGGAGATAAGGCTGTGTACATCTATTAAAGCCACGGGCTCCTTTGGGCACAGCGTCAGGACGCCTCAAGGGCAGAACTGTATTTCTGTCTGGCAAAAACCACCAGTAACTGTTTCATTTCTTCCTCCTGTCCAGCAGTCTCTGCTCTTTTTTGTATCTGAAATTTAACAGCTTTGTCTCCCTGACCAGCTAGATTTTTCATTCTCTTTTTATGTCTGAATTTTAGACAAGAGTATGCATTATTCTGAACATGCTTTTAACCTTAAAAGATTGTAGTCTGTGACGTATCTGTGCAAACCCTGATATTCAGATGGAAACTTGAGTAATGCTTTGAATTCTTTGCACACAGCACAATTTTCAGATCTAATTCAAATACTCAGGTTTTTTAATTAAGTCTCAAAATTCGTCCTATCTCACATCAGTTATCATATTGGAATTAGGCAGTGGTGGATGTGAGAGGAAATGTTGGGTCAGGTAAGACTAGTTTAAGAAGTTAATAATAATAATAATAGATTGTAATGAAGGAAAATAACAAGGAGAGAGATAAACCCCAAGAAAAACAAGTGGGTCAGCTTTCCTGGCATGCCCTTCTGCACTGGCAGGGCATGAGAAGCTGCACTTGACTTGGTGCAAGCCCTGCTGATCTACAGCTAAACCATCAGGGTTCATCAGAGAACCATCATTCTCATCCCAAACCCAGACCATTTCTGTACAAGCTACTGGGAGAAAATTAACTATATCCCAGATAAAACCAGAGCTCTGGGTCAATAAAACATATTAATGTTTATTAGTTTAATTGTCCTAAAACTGGGTTTTAAAAAGTAGCAAAATCTGGCTCAAGAAAGTTTTCCCCTTTCATATTATATTTTAATGGTAGTATTTATCGCTCAAGTATTTTATGTTAAATCCTATTTTCTGATGTTTTAAGCTATGAGTTTCATAGAGTTACATTTTCTCAGTCATAAATTAAAACAAAAGTAGTTGCTTAAGAAAAGTATCTTTTTTTAAGGCAGACAAGAAGAATCCTTGCCTGTGGGTCCTTTGTCTGCTAATTTCTGTACCGATTTCTGCAGGTAGTTAAAACTGCTCGTTTGTGTTAATAGTTGTTAGTGGTTTGCAGAACGCGCAGCTGCTCACCTTTTTTGCCAATTTAAAAAATGAAATTGCGGCGGCAGTTACTTAAAAATACCCGAGGATGTTCGAGAGCGTTTGCAGGGGACAGGAGCAGGTGATGGGAGGCAGCTTCTCACCTGGGCAGAGGTGTGGGATGGAGTGCGCGGTCCCGCTTCTGCTGCGCCGCTCCGGGAGCCCGGGCCCTCGGCGGCTGCCCGGGGAGCAACCGGGAGCCGGTCCGGGGATGGAGCAGCCGGGAGCCGGTCCGGGGATGGAGCAGCCGGGAAACGGTCCGGGGATGGATCAGCCGGGAAACGGACCGGGGATGGAGCAACCGGGAAACGGTCCGGGGATGGATCAGCCGGGAAACGGTCTGGGGATGGAGCAACCGGGAAACGGACCGGGGATGGAGCAGCCGGGAAACGGTCCGGGGATGGAGCAACCGGGAAACGGACCGGGGATGGAGCAGCCGGGAAACGGTCCGGGGATGGAGCAGCCGGGAAACAGACCGGGGATGGAGCAGCCGGGAAACGGTCCGGGGATGGATCAGCCGGGAAACGGTCCTGGGATGGAGCAGCCGGGAAACGGACCGGGGATGGAGCAACCGGGAAACGGTCCGGGGATGGATCAGCCGGGAAACGGTCCTGGGATCAGCCGGGAGCCGGTCCGGGGATGGAGCAGCCGGGAAACGGTCCGGGGATGGATCAGCCGGGAAACGGGCCGGGGATGGAGCAACCGGGAGCCGGTCCCGGGATCAGCCGGGAGCCGGTCTGGGGACGGATCAGCCGGGGAGATGCTCTCGGGAGCCGTTCCCGGTCCTGCCCGTGCGGAGCCGCTCCCGGTGCTGCCCGTGCGGGGCCGCTCCCGGTGCTGCCCGTGCGGAGCCGCTCCCGGTGCTGCCCGTGCGGAGCCGCTCCCGGTGATGCCCGTGTGAGCCGCTCCCGGTGCTGCCCGTGCGGGGCCGCTCCCGGTGCTGCCCGTGTGAGCCGCTCCCGGTGCTGCCCGTGTGAGCCGCTCCCGGTGCTGCCCGTGCGGGGCCGCTCCCGGTGCTGCCCGTGCGGGGCCGCTCCCGGTGCTGCCCGTGTGAGCCGCTCCCGGTGCTGCCCGTGCGGGGCCGCTCCCGGTGCTGCCCGTGTGAGCCGCTCCCGGTGCTGCCCGCCCGCCGTGCCCGCGCCCCGCCGCTGCCCCGGCGCAGCCCGGCGAGGATGGAGGATCGCAAGCAGAAAGGGGAAGGGCTGGCGGGCCGGGCCGGGCCCTGGCCGCTGTGGCCGGGCTCTCCGGGACCCGGGCGCAGCTGGCGGAGCAGCGAGAGCTCTGAACGGCTGGGCTGCAGTTTGCTTTTCCTAAACTGTTCCCAGGGCTGGCTGCGACCTTTGCCGTGACGCATCCTGCCCCGAGAGCCGCGGCTCTGTGCAGGGGAGGGTTTGAACTGGAGCCATGGGCTTACGTGGTGCCTGCTTGGGCTGGGAGATGGATTCTGGAGATACGTGATGCGTCTTTGGTGTTTGCCGTTTCCTTTCTCTTCTTTTTTGTGCTATTCTTTTCTTTTCATCTTAAACACCTGCTTGGCTTCCTCCCCTCCCATTCTTCCCCAAAATTTTCTGGGAGTCTTTGAAATCAAGCACAGAATTAGCAGAAATGTATGGGAATAGAAGAGCTAATATCTTCTCTGTGGATGTAGGAAAGGAGTATATTTTGAGAGAGAGATGAGGTTTGGAGAAATAAATTAAGGTTTAAATGTTTATTTTAAAATTGTGAAATACGTACATTGTGTACCTTAGAACAAGTAAATATTTAGTGCAGGACTTGAGCTCTGCTTGAAAATGTGTCACCTAAACCCTACACAATATACACAATTCCTCATGGACTTTGCTTCTGTGAGGGTTTATGTGTGGGAAAAGGGCCCAAAGGCACGGGGAGGCACATGTACCTTCTCCCTGCGTGTTGCTGCCACATCCACATCCATGGTGTGGGGCCACTGTGAGTTACCCTGAACCTCTAGCCCCTTCCTTCCCCCAGATTTCACTGAATATCTCTCAGTGCAATATGGGGGAATCTCGAGAGGCAGAATTGTCTGCACATTTTTGTCAGCACTCTTGCCCCTCCCTCTGTCCTGAGACTCACAGCTCAAAGCTGTAGTGGTCAGTCCACGTCTTTGGGGTGATGGGTTTGGGTGTTGGCTGCATTGACACTTTTGTACTTTCCCCATGGAGCAGGCAGAACAAATGGTGCACGAGGTTTCTCAGGTGCTCCCCAGAAAACACCAGTCAGCCAAGCTCTTCCTCTCTTCCTGTGCACCCTACAGTCATTTTTTGAAGCAGGGATGGGAGGAGCGAATCAGATAAGGCTTTGGTTTAAAAACCATGGGCTCGCTAAGGCATGAGAAGCCACAAAGAAGGGGCAGTGCAGTGTTCTCCAGTGAAAGATGCCAGTCTGTGATGGATTAAATGTTGCAGCACAGATAATTTTTTGCAGTGAGAAGTAAGCAGTTGTCCAGGGCAGAGGATTAAGGGCTTAAAGAGAGGGTGGGGTGCCTGAGCTCTGTGTACAGCTTCACCCCCTTGGAATGACTCTGGCCAGCAGGACAAACCGAGGGGTTGCTCTGTTACACAAACATGGGTATTTTTCCAGCATGCCAGCCAAACCCAGTGTTTAAGGATCTCAAGACAATGCTGCTGTTTCTAAAGGGTTAGAAAGTAGGCAGTGAGCCTGGTCACTAGAAGGCCCTGCACTTTGCCATGCACTTCAGATGGCCTAAGAACAAACTGATAATGTATTTTACCCTTAGCCACACAAATCTGCTTCTTCCCCCAAAATCCAAATTTCCCTACTGCCAGTTGTCTTATTAAGAGAAGCTGTTAACACTTTGTCTGAGCTGAGCTGAGGGCCTAAGAAGGGAATCCTTTTGCGTGATCCTGCTGATGGACTTCTGTCCCAGAGGCAGAGAGGGGAGAGCACTGCTGGCATGTCCCAGCAGGGCTGGTGACAAAAGGACTGGGGATGGTCGGGTTCTTCTCCTGGCTGGTGCCAGCAGTGCCAGGGGGTGGCAGCTCTGCAGTCTTTGCTGCCAGAAGTGGGGTGATGGGTCCTGGCTCGAGTTCTAAATGCAGGCTCTTGCAGCACCAAGCCATTGCCATGTGGAGGGGGTATCTGTGCCCACAGGTCTTACCTGTGCCCTTCCCAGACCTGCTGACAGAGCTGCCAGTGCCTCCAGCCCTACTGAACATGAAATAATGCAGATTGTAGGGTACCAGTGGCCAGCTCTGGGAATTGCTGAAAGCAGGATGAACAAAACAAATATTTTCCTAGGATAATCCCCCTAGAAGGCCAGCTAATTACAAAAGTATTGCAGGACTTCTAGTTGTGTTTTTGCCCTGTCAAATCTGCCAGCAAATGTTTTCTGCTCAGTTTTGTTTGGATGATGGGTGGATGTCTGTGCATCCCCGTGGAACAGCCTTCTGAGCCCTTACAAGGATTTGTCTGGAGCTCTTTCATCAAGGCCGTGTCCATATTCAGGTGGCACCACTGCTGCTCCCACACTGATGGGAGCACTTTGGCCTTACGGGGTGGCAGGAGAGGGGTGCTGAGGGAGGGGACGGAGCTGGGCTGAATTAGAAAATGCTTCATGTGGCATTTGATCAAGTCATTTTCCTTACTTAGTCAAAGTAGGCTCTCCTGCAGATGGTTCTGTTGTCTTTCAGCCACAGGCAACAGCTTTTCTAGTTCCACATTTGTACTTCAAAGACCATTGACATAATTTTTGCAGTTTCTCCTGTGTATCTTTCTCAAAAGACAATTGTGTTTTAAGTACCTCATTTTCTGACTTCAGAATCATACATTCTACATCTGTAGCCTTTTCAGGAAATGGGTGACCTGTGGTCACCTTTTCATTTCTTTTTGTGTGCAAGATAAACTCTCCTCAAAACCTGCACAAATGACTCCTTTATCTTTTCCACTTTTTTCTTTCCTTTTTTTTTTTTCTTTTTTTTTTTACCTTTTTCTCTGCTGTCTTTTTCTCATCCTTCCACCATTTCTGGTCACAAGGTTAATATCTAGTCATAAGTGTCTTGATCATGAGCCTAATATATGGGTGAACACTTGGCATAGACGAGGACAAAAAACTTATCGAATGGTGTCTCTTCAGGGGAGCACGAGGAGGACAAACCCAGCGATCTGTCCCTGCAAGTGTGTGTTGAATTCTCATCCCCCAGTTAGATGCAAAACTGGGGTACCTTTTATACCTTAGCAACCACTGATGTGCAAAGTTCTGTGTGCGGGACTGTAGTCAAATCTCCCTTGTTTGTGGGTGCGTTTTACAGAACATATTTACAGAACATTTGTATAGGTAGGGGGTGGATTTGGTTTCCTGAGCATTTCTGGTTAACACAGACCACAAGACCTCCATCCGGTTTGGTGCCTGCACCATGGGCTCCATGGCATGCTGAATTTTGCATTTTCTTCAATGTTTTATGCTTCCAACCTGACCAAGCTGGGTGAACCTGTCACGGCCACTCTGCTTATCAGTGCTTTCCCACTGGTGGGTCCCAGGGCAAAGACAGATTTTTAGACATTTGGGTGGGTTTAGTTTCCTTTTTCTGTGAAGCTGCACTGGTGAAAAGTCACAGGAAAGGTCATTAGCAGAAAAAACAAAGCAGCAGAGCACAAAATAAATGTGATGACGAAAGCCCTGCACCAGTAGTGATCTGGAGCTGGCTCTGAGTACAGATGCAAATCACATTTCTCCCACAATAATGCCCTGGCATGGAGAGATCTACTTTGGTTAGTCAATCAGAATATGTAAGATACAATTACATTTGAGTTACAAACACTGTAATGCAAATCTTCCTGAATGTAAAAAATCTCAAATGTTAATGAATTGTTCAATGTTCAGGAATTGCTCCTTGCATTCTTAGGTCAGATCTGCTGTTGTACTTCCACCCAGAAAACTGTGTTTCCTCTTAAAAATGGGACTCTGGGACTGCACAGCCACAGTTTATATCCATGTCTGAGAGCCTGACGTGGGTCTCTGAAAGGGCAGTGACAGGTCAGAGCCTGAGGCGTTCTGTGCAACTTCCTTGTAGTTTTCTCTTTCAAGATGAGCTCTTAGAGACCAAAATTCCATGCCAAATCTGGATAAAATAAATATAGTTATCTGGTATTTGGGGATTGGAATATTGTGGTATAATTCATTTTTAGCCATGGGAAAATACTTCACAAAGAGCATCTTCAAAGGGCTGCCATGACTGTGAGTGTGGTACAGAGCAGTGGTCAGGATTGTCACAGACACACCCTGCCAAGCAGAGTAAGCTGCTCTGGGGGTTGCAGAGCTGCCCTGGGGTTACATGCAGTGCTGTCTGCATGCAGGGGTCAGGCTGCAGGGCAGGGGCTGCTCCTGGCTGGCCTGTGCTGGGAGTGCAGGGCTGTGCCTTCCCTTCCCAGATTTCACACGGATATCCCACTTCTGGGACACTTCCCAGGAACTACTGACTGGGAACTTTATCCCTTTGGTCCCTGGGCAGGGGCACTGTTCTTCAGGCTGTGCTTTGGAGGGCACCATCCCATCCCCTGAGTGTGGCTGCTTCGGGTAACAGATTTTTTGGTGGAAAGCCCTTACGAGAGATCAGCAGTAGTGTCTCTCCGAGGAGGAAACACCATGAAAATCCATCCTTTATTTAAAAATTCGTGGGTAGTGAGAAAGGTGGTGTGTGTGCATCCTGTCAAGAGGGCACACAGCACACGGGGGGATGCAGGTGCCCGTCTGGTTGTGTTTGCAGCCACCCCTGCACTGCACCAGCAGCTCCACCCTGTGCCAGGGCCAACCCCAGACCCTGGTCTGCTGACTCCTCAGCTGCCTTCAGTGTCCTCTGGCTCGGGACCAGCAGGGAAACTGCCCCTGAAGTGGCTCTTTGGGCTTTGCTGGCCTTGTGGGGGAAGTCCACCCTCCACCTGGGAAAAAGGCACTGTGAATTTAACACAGCAATTATCAGGCACAATTTAACAAGCCACAAACCCTTGGTGATTTACACTTGTAAAAGGGCGACCAGAAGCACTCAGCCTTAACCATATAAGACCTGAGAGGACAGTCTTTGCTTAGGAATGTCTGCACACAGAACTGATCTTCCAGTCCTAAATACTATAATTCAATTTCTTTTGGTGCTTGTCAGGATTTAAGCTATGCAACCCAGTCTTCAAACTGGTTCTCTTAATATGGTTTTGTATGTGCATGGACTGCTTAGGGTGCAAGATGGCAGATCTGGTCCCAGAACTTGTCTGGTGTGTGTGAACAGTTTTCTACAAAGCTGATTGGGAAACAGGGTTTATCTGTGGTATTTTAGCTATTTAAAGTATTTTTATTTAAAGTAGGATAAATACCCAAAGTATTCTGTCTTCCTTTCCAGAAATGTTCTCTCCTGATCATTTAAGTGGTTTCATAATACTTGCATTAATATTTTCATATTTTCATTTCAACTTCCTAATTTTTCATAAACCAAAATCGAAACCTAAACCAATAGTGTTAAAAAAAATAGAAGAAAAAAAACGCCTTTCAGTAGAAAGCTTCATGAAAGATGTTCTCATGAAGATCTTAACCTTGTCATTTCAGTGCTGCATTTCCAGGGTTTTCTTGTCAAACCCTTTTTTTTGTGTACAAAAAGGAAAGTAGTTCTGTGTGAGGCACTGGCCCATGGGCTGTTGCCATCTCCTGCCTGTGTGGCTGCACCGCATCCCGGGCTGGCTGCGAGCACAGAGTGCTCTGGGCCGCCAGCCCTGCCCGCCTGCCTTCAGCAGCTCCCTCCCCTGTGAGCCCAGCAGATTTTGCTCCAAACAAAGCAGATTTGATCCCCAGTGAGTCCAGGACAGACTGACCCACGTGAACATCCTGGGCTGGAGAGGGCTCAGTGCCAGCCTGGGTGAGATGGTGGTGATGCTGCGCCGCGAGGGACACGGAGCCGCTCGGGCTGGTGGCACAGAGCCGTGTGGCACGGAGCCGTGTGGCACAGACCCCCGTGGCACAGACCCCTGTGGCACAGAGCCGTGTGGCACAGACCCCCGTGGCACAGACCCCCGTGGCACAGACCCCTGTGCTGCCCCGGGCACACCGAGGGTCCCCAGGGGCCTGTGCCACCTCCTCCCCTTCCCGTCACCCGCTGCCATCTGCCAGACCCTGGGGAAGCCGATTCCTCCCGGCAGGTCTGCTCCGAGGCCAGAGTCCATCCTGGCTGCAGCCTCCCAAGCTCGGGTGTTTTGTGAGCTGAGGCAGCCTTGTGCTGGTTTCTAAACCACCAACCAGCCCACCTGCCAACCTGCCTACCTGCCAACACAGCCCCCAGCCCCGCGAGCAAGCCCGATCCTGCGGGGACAGAGTCTGAGCTGGGTGTTGGTGGGCTGACACGGAAAGCTGAACGTGTCTGCACGTCCCCCAGTGAGCTTCTGTGGTCACATATTAAAGAGACATTTTATTTACATGATATACAAGCACTCTCACAAGTCAGCAGAGTCTCTGTGGGTGCCTTCAGACGTCAGTGTACTCGTGGTAGATGCGCACCTCTGACCTCCTGACGCTCTGGAGGGACCTGATGCTCTCGCTCCTGGTTCTCATGTTGGATTTCCTGAACAGCCTTCGTGAGAATGATCGACACATGAAAAAATAAATGATTGGGTCCAGACAGACGTTGCATGCGGACAGGAACAGTGTCATTTCCTTACAATAATACAAGATTCTGTGTGCAGAGTCATCTAAAATTTTGTCCAGGTGACTAAAAGTGAAGGGTATTCGGCACAAATGGTAGGGCAAAAAGCAGGTGAAGAACACAGCCACAACCACCCTTATACTCTGGTTGTGCTTCCGCTTTCGGCTGGACGAGCTGATGAACTGTTTGCTGGATTTATAGATGTACCTGGAAATGGCAATGTAGCACCCTATCAGCACGATCAGCACCACCACGAACGTGCAGGTGTTGATGTAGACGACAGCCGAGTGCCACTTGACTCCCAGGGGAGACTTCAGCTTCAGGCAGTCGTCCACGTTTCTCTTGGTGGGGTAGCCGTTGGTGAGGATCAGGTTTGGCAGCGCCAGGAACGCCATCACCACCCAGACGCAGGCCGACAGGATCTTGGTGAAGGTGATGCTGTACATCCTGGAGTCCCCAAAGGGCTTCACCACCTTCAGGTAGCGGTCGATGCTGATGAGCCCCAGGAAGACGATGGTGGTGTACATGTTGGCGTAGAACAGCACCGTGGTGTAGCGGCACAGGAAGGAGTTGAAGTGCCACGGCCCCAGCCGCGAGTCCTGGATGATCTTGAACGGGAACGTCAGCGTCATGAGCAGGTCTGCCACCACGATGTTCTTGAGGTAAAATATAAAGCTGGTTTTGTTCCTGATGTGGAAGAAGATCCACACGGCGAGGCCGTTCAGCAGCAGGCTGGCCAGGAAGATGACGAGGTAGAGCACGGGCAGCACGATGGTGGTGAACTCGTCCTGCGCAGAGCGCCCGCGGGCGCTGGCGTTGGGCGAGCTGCTGTTGTCCGGGCCGAGGTGATTGTCTGTGGGAGTGAGGGAAAACAACAGGCTGGAGCTTTCTGGTGCTTTACAGGCGGACCAGTTTAGAACTGCCCTCCCCCTGGGCAGGCTGAGCCTGCTCGGGCGAACCACAGAGCTGCAGGCTGTCAGCTCTCGGCTTTCCTGACAGAATGTGACTTGTGAGCTGAGATGTTTGTCATGAGACAGGGCTCTGCAGAGACTCCTCAGGCCTCTCAAAACGTGCATTTAAACTTAGTTTACTTAAATGTATTTAAATATCACAGTCTCTGGGGGATTTTAAGATTTCATATGTAAATGTTTGTGAAAAACGTATAAACTCTGCCATAAAATGACAGTATGTTTTGTTTTGTGTTGTTTGTACTCTGACCTTGTCTGGTGAGGCAAGCCAGGCTGGCTGTGGGCAGCGCTGGGCAGTGCTCAGACAGCCCGTGCTGGAATGACTAATTTCTTTCAAATGTTGGTAGGAACGGATAGTAATAAAATAAACACGTATCAATCACTTAGATTTTCATTGTTATTTTACCTGGCAGTTTTCCATAGGACAAATTGTACCCCATCCTTTGTGTTGCTGTAGGTTTTCAACTGGAATGCTCTTCAGGAGTCCCACTGACAGCTGTGGATCTGGGATGCAGCGGGGCCTGTGCCAGGATGATGTTCTGGGGGAAAAAAATCCAAATTAAAACCAAAGGAAAATAGAAGAGCCCACTTTCTTGTCCCCTGCATGGAGAGGAGCCTTGTGAAAGGAGCTTCCTCTGGAATTCCCACAGAAGGGCTGGCTGAGGTGGCTGAGGACTGGGTAGTGCACAGTGGTTGTGTTGTCAGGTCTTCATTGCCTCCTTCTTGCTCATTTCAGTGATAGATGACTGCGTATAGATATTTTTTAAAAATCACCACTCACTTCTTGAAGTAAAAAAGTTTTATCAGTAATTATGAGATATGTGTGCATGACTTCATAGTGTATACCCCAAACTGCGGTGGAAATGACAAGTTCCTGTTCCCTTTTCATAGAAATTGGCACACAAGGAACACTGAAACCTGCAGAAACTCACTAATGCCATGATGGCATCACGATGTTTGACATTGTTCAAAGGGATTTTGCCAATACCAGTTTGTAAGGCTGTGCTCCAAATTGTTCTTTCCTCAATCAGTATGCAAATGCAGTAACTTTTCTGGGATTCATTTTTTGCTCACAAGTTTTGATAGGAAAACTGGCAAAATGGTTCAGATCTCACCAATTCCACAAGACCTGACTGCTCTCATGGGAATGAAGAGGGGATGGGATTGCTGCAGCCGTTCTGCAGACCAGAACCTGTTTTAGGTGCTGTCCCCATGTAGGAACTGTATTGTGTGGCACTAGATGGCACCAAAGCAAGTAATGGCGTGTGAAAGCATCAGTAAAAAAACTTTAATTTGGGTATTTTAACCTTTTTATCAATGTGGCTTCTTGGCTGGCATTGTTTGCTCGGACAGTGACAAGACTGTCAGGGGTGTTGTAGGTGTTTTGTTTTCTGTGTGTCTGAGCAGCACTAATCCATCATGTTTTGCTGTTGTTGAGGATTCGCAGCTCTCTTTTCTGCCCAGGAGGCAAAGATCAAAAGAGTATGTGATTTTATGAAAAGATGCTTATCTAACTCCTTATGTAAATAAGGTGCTTATTGCCCTGCTTTTCTGAGTTTCTTTTAAGTCTGCATAATTCCTGGCCCCTGGAAAACTCCTTGTTCTCAGGCTCTTCAGGAAGTGCTCTCCTAAACTCTGGGTGCAGAGCAGTCAGTGAGGTGTTGGATGCGCTGCCTGGGATTCGGGGCAGAGCAAGAGGCGGCTGCTGTGTGCCCGGTGTGCCCTGTGTGCCCTGTGTGCTCTGTGTGCTCTGTGTGCCCTGTGTGCCCTGTGTGCTCTGTGTGCCCTGTGTGCTCTGTGTGCCCTGCATGCCCTGTGTGCTCTGTGTGCTCTGTGTGCTCTGTGTGCCCTGCGTGCTCTGTGTGCCCTTGTGCCCTGTGTGCCCTGGGTGCCCTGCGTGCCCTGTGTGCCCTGTGTGCTCTGTGTGCCCTGTGTGCCCCGTGTGCCCTGTGTGCTCTGTGTGCTCTGTGTGCCCTGTGTGCCCTGTGTGCCCTTGTGCCCTGTGTGCTCTGTGTGCCCTGTGTGCCCTGTGTGCCCTGTGTGCCCTGTGTGCCACGTGTGTCCTGTGTGCCCTGTGTGCCCTGTGTGCCCTGTGTGCTCTGTGTGCTCTGTGTGTCCTGTGTGCCCTGTGTGCCCTGTGTGCCCTGTGTGCTCTGTGTGCTCTGTGTGCTCTGTGTGCCTTGTGTGCTCTGTGTGCCCTTGTGTGCCCTTTGTGCCCTGTGTGCCCTGTGTGCCCTGTGTGCTCTGTGTGCCCCTGTGTGCCCTGTGTGCTCTGTGTGCTCTGTGTGCCCTGTGTGCCCTTGTGCCCTGTGTGCCCTGTGTGCTCTGTGTTCCCTGGGTGCTCTGTGTGCTCTGTGTGCTCTGTGTGCTCTGTGTGCTCTGTGTGCCCTTGTGCCCTGTGTGCTCTGTGTGCTCTGTGTGCCCTGTGTGCCCTGTGTGCCCTGTGTGCCCTGTGTGCTCTGTGTGCCCTGTGTGCTCTGTGTGCCCTGTGTGCTCTGTGTGCCCTGTGTGCCCTGCATGCCCTGTGTGCCCTGTGTGCCCTGTGTGCTCTGTGTGCCCTGTGTGCTCTGTGTGCCCTGTGTGCTCTGTGTGCCCTGTGTGCTCTGTGTGCCCTGTGTGCTCTGTGTGCCCTGCATGCCCTGTGTGCCCTGTGTGCCCTGTGTGCTCTGTGTGCCCTGTGTGCTCTGTGTGCCCTGTGTGCCCTGTGTGCTCTGTGTGCCCTGTGTGCTCTGTGTGCCCTGTGTGCCCTGTGTGCTCTGTGTGCCCTGTGTGCCCTGTGTGCTCTGTGTGCCCTGTGTGCTCTGTGTGCCCTGTGTGCCCTTGTGCCCTGTGTGCTCTGTGTGCCCTGCGTGCCCTGTGTGCCCTGTGTGCCCTGTGTGCTCTGTGTGCCCTGTGTGCCCTGTGTGCTCTGTGTGCCCTGTGTGCTCCGTGTGGTCTGTGTGCCCTGTGTGCCCTGTGTGCTCTGTGTGCCCTGTGTGCTCCGTGTGGTCTGTGTGCCCTGTGTGCCCTGGGTGCCCTGCATGCCCTGTGTGCTCTGTGTGCCCTGGGTGCCCTGCATGCCCTGTGTGCTCTGTGTGCTCTGCGTGCCCTGTGTGCCCTGTGTGCCCTGTGTGCCCTGCGTGCTCTGTGTGCTCTGTGTGCCCTGTGTGCCCTGTGTGCTCTGTGTGCCCTGTGTGCCCTGTGTGCTCTGTGTGCTCTGTGTGCTCTGTGTGCTCTGTGTGCCCTGTGTGCCCTGTGTGCCCTTGTGCACTGTGTGCCCTGTGTGCTCTGTGTGCCCTGTGTGCTCTGTGTGCTCTGTGTGCTCTGTGTGCCCTGTGTGCCCTGTGTGCCCTGTGTGCCCTGTGTGCTCCGTGTGGTCTGTGTGCCCTGTGTGCCCTGTGTGCCCTGTGTGCCCTGTGTGCTCTGTGTGCTCTGTGTGCTCTGTGTGCTCTGTGTGCTCTGTGTGCCCTGTGTGCTCTGTGTGCTCTGTGTGCCCTGTGTGCCCTGCGTGCTCTGTGTGCTCTGTGTGCTCTGTGTGCTCTGCGTGCCCAGTGTGCCCAGTGTGCCCTGTGTGCCCTGCGTGCTCTGTGTGCTCTGTGTGCCCTGTGTGCCCTGCGTGCTCTGTGTGCTCTGTGTGCTCTGTGTGCTCTGCGTGCCCTGTGTGCCCTGTGTGCCCTGTGTGCTCTGTGTGCCCTTGTGCTCTGTGTGCCCTGTGTGCCTTGTGTGCTCTGTGTGCTCTGTGTGCCCTGTGTGCCCTGTGTGCCTTGTGTGCTCTGTGTGCCCTGCATGCCCTGTGTGCTCTGTGTGCTCTGCGTGCCCTGTGTGCCCTGTGTGCTCTGTGTGCCCTGCGTGCTCTGTGTGCCCTGTGTGCTCTGTGTGCTCTGCGTGCCCTGTGTGCCCTGTGTGCCCTGTGTGCTCTGTGTGCCCTGTGTGCTCTGTGTGCTCTGTGTGCCCTGTGTGCCCTGTGTGCCCTGTGTGCTCTGTGTGCCCTGTGTGCCCTGTGTGCTCTGTGTGCTCTGTGTGCTCTGTGTGCTCTGTGTGCTCTGTGTGCCCTGTGTGCCTTGTGTGCTCTGTGTGCCCTGTGTGCTCCGTGTGGTCTGTGTGCCCTGTGTGCCCTGTGTGCCCTGTGTGCCCTGTGTGCTCTGTGTGCTCTGTGTGCCCTGTGTGCCCTGCGTGCTCTGTGTGCTCTGTGTGCCCTGTGTGCCCTGCGTGCTCTGTGTGCTCTGTGTGCTCTGTGTGCTCTGCGTGCCCTGTGTGCCCTGTGTGCCCTGTGTGCTCTGTGTGCCCTTGTGCTCTGTGTGCCCTGTGTGCCCTGTGTGCTCTGTGTGCTCTGTGTGCCCTGTGTGCCCTGTGTGCCTTGTGTGCTCTGTGTGCCCTGTGTGCCCTGTGTGCTGTGTGTGCCCTGCATGCCCTGTGTGCCCTGTGTGCTCTGTGTGCCCTGTGTGCCCTGTGTGCTCTGTGTGCCCTGTGTGCCCTGTGTGCTCTGGGTGCCCTGCGTGCCCTGTGTGCCCTGTGTGCCCTGTGTGCCCTGTGTGCTCTGTGTGCCCTTGTGCCCTGTGTGCTCTGTGTGCCCTGTGTGCTCTGTGTGCTCTGTGTGCCCTGCGTGCTCTGTGTGCCCTGTGTGCTCTGTGTGCTCTGCGTGCCCTGTGTGCCCTGTGTGCCCTGTGTGCCCTGCGTGCTCTGTGTGCCCTGTGTGCCCTGTGTGCCCTGTGTGCTCTGTGTGCCCTGTGTGCCCTGTGTGCTCTGTGTGCTCTGTGTGCTCTGTGTGCTCTGTGTGCTCTGTGTGCTCTGTGTGCCCTGTGTGCCTTGTGTGCTCTGTGTGCCCTGTGTGCCCTGTGTGCCCTGTGTGCTCTGTGTGCTCTGTGTGCCCTGCATGCCCTGTGTGCCCTGTGTGCTCTGTGTGCCC